ACAATAGTCCAAACGGGAGGTCACAAGGGTATGAATGACAGTGAGTAGAGCCTCCCGGTCCAGGAATGGATGCAACTGACGCACAACCTGAAGATGTGCAAAGGCCCTCTTAGCCACGGATGCCACCTGCTCTTCCAGCAGGAGCCGTGACTCCAAGAGGACCCCCAGATTGCACACCGGGTCCATCTGAGGCAGAGCCACCCCATCCAGGACCAAAGGTGGAAAAACCTTGGTACTAGGAGGCCCAAACACCCAAAGCCACTCAGTCTTGCTTGGGTTGACCCAAAGCCCATTGCGCCCCATCCAGGCCCCTACAGCCTCCAGGCACTGAGATAGGCAGCACTCAGACAGCCCAGGGAGGAGATATAAAGCTGGGTATCATCAGCATACTGATGATATCTCACCCTGAACTGTCACCTCACCCAGCAGCCTCATGTAGATGTTAAGAAAGAGGGGAGAGAGAACCGAGCCCTGTGGCACCCCACACAGTAGGGGCCGTGGACTGGACCTCTCCCCTCCTACTAACACCAACTGGAACCGATCCCAGAGGAGGGAGGAGAATCAGCACAACACAGTGCCGTCCACTCCCAACTCCTGAAGCCAGTCCAGAAGGATACCATGATTGATGGTATCGAAGGCCGCCAAGGGGTCAAGAGCAAGGACAGAAGCACTGCCCTCATCCCGCTCCTGCCAGAGGTCATCCAAGTGCGTGATCAATGCCGTCTCAGTCCCATATCCTGGCCTGAATCCTGACTGAAAGGGGTCCAGATAATCCGCTTCATCCAGAGTCCTTTGAAGCTGCCGTGTGACCACTTTCTCAACAACTTTCCCTAAAAAGGGGAGGTTGGAGACTGGACGAAAACTATCCAGATTAGTTGGGTCAAGCGATGGCCCCTTGAGGAGGGGGTGTACCACCACCTCCTCAAGAGCCGGCGGGACCACCCCCTCCCTCAAAGAGGAATTAACCACCACCCAGACCCAATTACGTGTCCTCTTCTGGGCAGCCTTGACCAGCCAGGAGGGGCACAGATCTAACACAGAAGTGGCTGAACTAAGAGCTACAAAAACCTTGTTTTAGTTATCTAACTACAAAGTACATCAAGCTACATACAAGAGGAGTGTCAAGCTATTTATCAGTTTGCTTGTTTTATAGAGTCCAATCACAACCAACTCTGAGTAGTGTACAATTCTTTCTCTGTGACTGAAATTAAGACAAGACAAAGACAAGAACTGTTTCTCCTTATGTCTTCAATCCTCTGGGTAAAGCAACCAACTTGTTTAAACCTTTTATCATAAAAAAATATCTTATGGAAGATGTTTTTTTCTGTCACTCTTACATTCCAAAACTACTGTATCTCTTAGGGTTTCAAGTTGTATTATTTAATGCAGACAGAAAGATTAATCCTATTTGAAATTTTAGGGGGTCATTTCCATAGCCCTGGAAAGTTTGACCAAGACACTTGTCTTGGTGTTGCAACTCCTCATAAAGTTCAGCCAAATTACACTCTACATAATTGGCAAGTGGTTTTTTTAAAAACCATTTTGAAATAATATATTGTATTTCAGTACAGCATGAAACATTTCAAATAGCTCAGCTTAACAGCCTACAGCAAGAAGACCTGTAAAGAGAAAGATTTAAAAAACAGCAATGTGAATCATGAAGAAAATAAAGTCACAAAAATTGATGAAGTATCCTG